ACCAAAATGATATTTCGCCCCCCATTCAACAAAGGTGTCGAAAAACGTCCGAAATCGCATTTCAAACGTAACTCGTGAAATTTTATCTGATAGATATGAGTGCCTGGAGTGCGTGGATGCATTCATCTTTGTGATCTATGCTCTGGTTTCTTCGGAAAATTCATTCAAGCCAAGCTTTTCCGGCAGGATACCCACCGCCCGCCTCCACCGGAGGTAGGCTTTCACCCGCGCGGCCGATCAGGTATATCTGCTGAAAAATCACTGCATATTTTTTGACACGTCGACAGCAAAGTGTCTCTGGAGTGTATCGATGCCCGAAACAACACCTTTTCTCTCCCTGCTCACTCTTGATGTTGCTCGTTTCCGACTGTTCTCCATCCCTCTCCTCCCTCCTGTACGCTCGCGTTTGAATGCTTCCTTGATGCGCTTTCAATATAGAAATCTTAAAATGTTCTCTAATAGATAGATAGAAGTGGTTTTCTGTAGTGCACGGACATATTCACATCCGCGATATTTGCTTACGTTCCCCTGGAAAGTTCATTCAAGCCGAGCGTCTTCGGTAGGATATCCGCCGGACGCCTCTACCTGACCGGGTTTTCATCGGCGCACCCGATCGGGTGTCTCTGTTGCATAAATCATTGAATATTTTTCGGCACGTCGACAATGAATCTGACAAATGTATTTCTGCACGCTACACCAAATTTTCTGTCTTTATTCCTTTTGTATGGCCCGAGTCTTGCAATACTGTTGAATCATAGGTTGCAATTTTGGTGGGTCTCATTAGAGGCTGACCTCTACGTCACCATTCCATGAAACAATTTGAATTTGGTCGCCTTTTTCGTGAATTCACTTTCAAGAAGTGATGTAAAATTATTGATTATGCATGTTCGGTTTGTCGAATGTCTTTGCTAAAATCTCGTTTTGCTGCGTCTGCAACCCCTCATTTAAAAGTAGATTGTCTTAGCTTTCTAAATACGTTATTTGCGTTTTCCTCTAGCCAAAGGTTTCCGAGTTGTAGTCCTTTGAATTCGACTCAACAAATGGCCATCTAGCGGCAACTTTGGCAGTGACTTTTGGCCAAACTACGGGTCGGAGGTGACTGTGCGACCCTACTTTGAACTTCCCTAGGGACCCCCTCCAACAATTACTTTTCAGATTTCGAATCCCAGTCGGTCGATTTTCCCTCCCCTACCACCTAAATGTTCATTGAAGGTAGTATGAAAGATATTCGCCACATGATCATATTCTCTCCGGCTACAAGGATTTTTATTTCCATTGTCCAGAGCTACTGATAGTAGGAATTCCATGGAATGCTAATGTGCTTCCGTCTTGGAACGCCATCATCTACACTTCCTTCCTCGTAAAACGCAAATCTTTCTCAAGCTGATTTTTTTTCTCTAAAAAGTTAAGACCTTGTAAGAAATACGGTGTGGCAGAAGCAGGAAATAGCAGAAGAAACTAATTTTGCATTGCCCTCCTCTCCTTCCGCCGAGAAGTAACGCTTGATCTATTGGTAACGAGAGTTTATCATTCAGGTTCTGGGCTTTCGTGGAATAGAAAAGTATTGGGCCTGTTTTGTAGATATAGATCACCTCAGAGCCCTGGAAGGAGAGAGTGGTAAAGGGACGCAGTCCCGTTTGTTTTGGAATGGCTGATGTAACCAATGTTGCTGATGCTGGCGTAACCAAGCTTAATGAAATTTCACGACAATATATAACAACTTTTGCCAACATATTGGATAGAGTTTTGTTTCTCGCAGAGCCCTCTATTAGGTTAGAAAAACGCATTCTACCTAAACCTCTCAAATCAAGATCTTATCAATTTGATAAAATCCTTTAAAGAACATCATTCAAATGAATATGCCTTGATCCAGTAGCCCTGAAAGTTTCATGATTCTATCCCATCTCCTTACTAAGATATCAAATTTCACATGTTCTAGCAGAATGTGGTGACATCCGATTCACGGTTTTAGCGTTACCCAGGATTAACCAACATGGAGATATCCGTCCTTCATCCCATAGGGAGTTTTTCCAATCGGTTCCCCTTGCCTCCACATCGCCATCCAGCACGAAACATTCAAAATCTGGAGATTATCCTTTGCGAAGTTTCATTGGCTTGCGGTCAATCTCAAAGCTAACCTGGCATCGATTGAGGACTGAGCGACAGACCTTCTGAACGCCATCTTCGACGCCATCCTGAGGGATGGTGTCGAACTCCTCTTTAGCTATTTTTTTTACGTAAAAGCTCGCAGGCGAAAGGGAAAGTAATAAAACCATAACTTCTCCGAGCGAAGACCTTTCTTTGTCTTTGAATTTCTCCCGGATGCAGGTCGTGCCGGATTTTTCACGGGGAAATACGGAAATCCGCTTACGAGGTGTTCGATTCGATCTGGCCCGTGTCCATCGCAGCACGGCTCGGAACAGATTTTCCCCGTCCCGGATGCCCCGTGACGGTCTCGAGGCGAAAACCGCAGAAATGCCTTACCACACTCGAGGACGATCGCCCTCCACGGTAGGCGAGGGAAGAAGAAAAAAGAGAGGAAGAGACCTGGATTTAAGGGCCTGCAGTGATCGAAGGGATGACCCGTGAAACCTTTTGGGCAGGAACAGATGGGCTTGTGGTTCTCCACACGGCATTCTGCGTTCTCCCCGCACGCATCCGTGCAAGGGTCCACGCACTTGTACTGTCGACACTCTCGGGTTAGTGCGCAGGCGGAATCCGACTCGCACTCCGCTCTGGAAACCATAGCATTTCACACATTAACCCTTTAGACCTGAATTAAGGCCGCTATGGGTAGAATATAATTTTTTTGCATTTTTGAGCTCTTTCACGATTGTAATTGAAAATTTCGAGCTTCATATGTGGTTTTCAAATTTCGTATAAATTTGCCATATCATACCATATATTGTATACAGGGTGGCTCAGAGGAACGGGAAATTTTGGAACGGAGATTTATGGAAGAGACAACATATTTTAAATACATTTATTCATGACAATTAATAGTACAGAGTATGCCATTGATGAATTGAATACCAATTTCTTGAAGATGCTATCAAGTAGGTGAAGATGCTATCAAGCAGGAATGTCTGCGCTCTGCGCAGACATTCCTGCAGTCTTTTAGGGACATTTTGCATGACTCGACGAAACATTTCAACAGGAAAGTTGGCGATTTCCTCTCGGATATTGGTCTTCAGTTCTTCGGTCGTAGCAGGTCGACTACGGTACACCTTGCTCTTAAGGTGACCCCACAAAAAGAAATCGCACACTGTCAGGTCAGGGGATCTTAGAGGCCATGAAATGTCGCCGTTTCTCGAATTTACACGATTGCCAAACAATTGTCGTACAGCTGCCATTGATATTCGTGCTGTGTGTGACGTTGCTCCGTCTTGTTGAAACCAGGTGTTTTCAATCACTTGTGGGAAAATCTGCAGTTCGTGCGCAACAAAGGTTTCCAGCATGGCAACATACCGCATAGACGTTACAGTGGTTGCAAGGCCATCATCATTCTCAAAAAAGTAAGGGCTTATGACGGCATACGATGACATAGCGCACCGCACGGTAACATTCTGCTGTGTAACGGGCGCTGGTGTAGCTGAGCAGGATTTCGCTGGGCCCAATAGCGAAAATTTTGTTTATTGACGAATCCATTCAGGTGGAAGTGGGCTTCGTCTGACATCCACAGGTTGTTAATGAAATCCTCGTCCTCATTTACCTTTGCCATCATTCGTTCACATAATTGTCGCCGCATTAGGTGATCATTGGGTTTAAGTTCCTGGACGATCTGTAACTTGTACGGATGGAACTTTAAGTCCTGCGACAGTATTCTTTGAACACTGGAACGATGCAACTGTAAAGAAATTGCAAGACGTCGAACTGAACGTTGTGGGCTTCTTATGACAGCAGCTCGAACAGCCTCGATATTGTCTGGCGTTCGAGCGGTTCGCACACAACCTGCAGGTTTCTTTTTCAAGCCGAACCTGTTTCCTCAAAATTCCGTACCCATGCATGTGCTGACGGAACACGATCATGACGTCCTAAATTGAAGTGACGTCGAAATTCTCTACGCGCAGCCTCCACACTGTCATTGTTCTTGTAAAATGCTTTGACCGCAAATGCACGTTGTGCACCACTCCACTGATGCATGACAACTAAACGGCAAGATGTCGTAAGGTGGGTTTCATACGTCATTCAGCGCTACCAACCTCCCAGGTCTGACAAAACAACTTTCAACATTTCCCGTTTCTCAGAGCCACCCTGTATTATACATTTGATTAAATATCTGAATATTACAAAAATAAAGCGTGAAAGTAGGCCTCTGGTGTAACATTGCCGTGCATAATTGCGCCCATTGTAGCGTAATATGGAGCGCAAAGTCACAAGAATCCTAAGAAATTGCCATTGGTACAATGTAAATGCAATGTCCATTGGAATTGGTGTCAGGTCTGAAGGGGTGAAATTCTTCGCGTTCGCTCTCCCCATAAAAATGTGCGTAAAAGTGCACCACGACGGTGGGCGACGGGAGATCCACCCCTTCTATTTCTTCAGGTGCGATCTTCGGGGGAAGAGGTACGCTTTCGCGTCCGTTTCCGATGCTTTCTAAAGTAAGTTTTCCGAAGGAGGTCGGGAACAGTAGACACAGGAAACGGGATTGACCGGACCGCGCGTGGCCTCGCGGCTGGAGCGTGGGTCCGTTCCGGCCACGCTTCGATTCCATCCCGGAGACGAATAGCTCACCTGCACCCTTGGACGGGGTTGCCGAAGAAATGGGGAAGGCAGGAGCAGATGGCCAGATGGAATGCAACCTCGCACTTGGAGTTTCTCCCGCACGGCGACGGATCGCACAGCTCCTCTTAAGATTCACGAACGAAATCGGTCTCGCGAACGCCCGGGAGACATGGGAAACGGATGCATGCGGTGAAACGTTACCGGGGCCGAGTCGTCGACACCGTTCGAATGGATCGCCGGTGTGACCGGCGGGGCAGGTGCAGGCGGGGACGTGTCTCCGAACGATGCATTGTGCACCCGTCCCGCACGTCCCTGGACACGGATCCGTGCAGTGGAAATCCTTGCACACTCGATCGTCGCTGCAGTCGTGAGTCTCTGCGAAAGCGAGAAACGACGGATGAGTTACCGCTCTCGCGCCTTCGGAAACGCTCGAGATCGCGGAAGACGCACCGACGCATTCACCCTCCATGCAGCCCGTCTGGGGGTTCCCGTAGTAGATGCACCAGCACACTGGATAGCCACCGCTGGCCCGACACTTCGCGTGCGCCCCACAAGGATTCGGGAAACACGGGTCCGTGCTATCTCTCTCGCTCTCTAGGGACATTTAAAAAAAACGATGTCATTGACTATCAGATTACAATATCTTTTTCCTATAGAATATTCTAAACCAGCTTGACTTTGACTCCTTCGGCTGGAAAGGAAAGGAACTCCCTCGTGGATGTGATGATCAGAAGGTGAGCATTCCCTCTTAAGGAATTTGGGTACATCGCTTTTGCCCACATTACATTTTTGCCACCTGACCAGAGCACTTCCGCATTGCGACGGAGAGCGGCAACGCTGGACGGCATGATTTTTTATAGGGAAGAGTTGGTGTCGCACGATGAAGATATCAGATACATCTGCCGAAATGCGAAATAAATAGCAAAACACAGTCACTGCTTCATTTGCGATGGGATCCAGAGGGGCACATTTAGCAATTTTCCACCTTCTCGGTTCATCAGCCCCCAAAACATCACGCGGGGGAATGCGAAGCCTCACACAGGATCATTCTTCTTTTCCCACAAGAAACACAGCGTGATAACTGTGAGGCTCCGGTTGAAAAGAAAGGGACAACGGAGGAATACACTATGGTATCATGAATGTCTCTTCAAATTGAAAGAATGTCTTTTGGATTTTCCCTCTTCTTCATGAGAAAATCCGTGAATAAATTTAAATTTGAAGCGGTATCATGGATGAATTGTATTCAGTTTCTGTGTAACTCAGAAGGTTTGAGTTCTGAATGCCTGATTTCTTTAATCATAAAGTAGGGGTATTCATATTTGGTAGCTCGGACGTAAATGGACCAGTAAACGGAGATTAGAGGTAAAATCCAAGTTTTGATGAATAGGAACACAAAGTTCATAACAGAAACAGGGCCTTAATCTAGCGTGCATGGTGAAATAATTTCCAGTTGCAATGATATCTGAAAACCTACACTAAGGTGCAAAAGTATTTGCCCCCGTATCTCAAGTTTTCTTCTTTTTCGTTTGGAAAATAGCAACTTCGTGATTATACAGTGATGAATAAATTATAAGATAATTGGGAGTGTTGAGATACAGTCGATGGCTTCCGGTGCTGCATGATGTAATTCAGCAGTACCACCACGGAAGGAGTATATGGGCAGTTGTTGACTATATGGTCCATGGTTTGAATTTCGCCGCATTGACATAGTGGTGAGTCTTTAATCCGCCATTTGTGCAAAATAGCTGCACATCCACCGTGTGAAGCTCTTATACGGTTGATGGCGCTCCAATGTTTTCGTCGAAGCAAAAAAACAGGAAGCTCGGATGTAATGTGGCTTTTGTTCTCAACATCAGCGTCGTTCCATAGTGTTCGCCACTGTTCATCTGGTCCGGTGCTGGTGGACCGGAGTGCTTCACCTGCAGTCCAGAAAGGTCTGTGGGACTTAAGGCGTGCTCGTGGTAGTCGGCTGATGTCGTGGAGCGGAATAGATGCGTGGAGCTGGGTGTCGACCAGGTGGGTGTGCGAGCTTTGGGCCCAGACTGGTGAGCAGTACTCGGCCGTGAAGTACACCAACCTGAAGTAATTCTCAAGTAATTTTCAGGGTGGGTGGGATGAATATTAAAAAAAAAGGTTCATTCAAAGAAAAGGCAAGGGACAGAGTGCAAAATTACAGCAATCAATAGTTGATCCTCCCTCCCTTGGAATCAATGACAAACATCGCGCTCTCATCGACTCCAGAGTCGATTCGAGGCATGATTTAGAGTGGCCACGTCGATTCTGTCTCATTCTTCGTGCAGAAATCTGTCTAGTTGGTCGAGATTTGATGGTTTTCGCTTCTCGACAAGCTGTTTGAGGATCGACCAAAGGTTCTCGATCGGATTGTCGTCGGGATAGTTGGAAGGCCAGTCGATCGTTTCGGGTGCGTCCTCGAATAGGAACTCCTTCGTCATTAGACTTCTATGTCTGGGATCTTTGCCTTGTTGCATTCGGCAGCATCGACCGAACAGACACTGAGTAGATGATCTCGAAGGATTAGAACGTAATAAGGGCCATCCCTAATTCTCACGAACGAAAGATAGCCGACTAGGCCTATGACACTGAAGCCGCCCACACCATAATCTTATTCTTTTCAGGATTCGCTCGACCTCGCTTTTTGGATTCTTTGACCCTCAACGAATTGTGTTTCTGTATAATCGGTAGGAGGTCTCGTCAATGAATACTATTCGGCTCCAATCGTCGTTCTTGGGCTGAATTACCTACCGGACGCACGTATATTTGTACTTCTGTACATTGGCGTGGCGTGGGGCAAAGTATTCCGGTAACCCATCCGTTTCAGCTGGTGTTGTACCATCCAGCGGGACACGTGCCGACCTAGAACCTGAAGCTACTTTTCCGTAAGTTCCATCACTGTTGTCTCATGATTTCGTCGAATCCACTGCCAGAGTACCTTTTCGTCGTCGGCGGATATATATAGCAGGGTCGACCACTACCACGGCGTCTACTCTCCACCGTGCCTTGTTCATTGATCTTGACGATATTTTACCCGATAAACCGAACGGAGATCTCCGTCAGACGGGCAATTGCGGCGGGATATCGATTACAGTTGTTCCAGGAGTGTAAAATAGTTGATCGCTTCGTTTTCGGCAAAGTAGGATTTCCTTGTCGGGGCATTTTCTTCCAACTCAAGAATGTTTGCGACGATTTGCGGTTTTCACAGCTATATATATAGTCCTTTATTCACCTTCTAAAAAGTTTTCGAAGAATCTCTCCAGAAATTTCCAGAGATATTCTTACAGAAAGTTGGCTTATGAGAGGGGAAAGGTCTTTTGCACCTTGATGTATGTTACCCTGATAGGATATGAATATCAACGGCCTGTCTATGACATTGGAAAACGGACTCTCCCTTGAATACAATTTCGCCTGACCGACCAGAAAGTCGGTAGTAGGTCATGCAGCTTCCTTGCTAAACGTGGCAAAGCGTGTCCCAGATAAATTATTTGAAATAGAGCTTAATATGCATTTTCTCTCGCTTTCTGCTGAAATCTTATTGGCTACCAAAACAATATCTAAAATATATATATATTAGAAAAGTGACGAATGAGCTCGCATTTCTTGAATGCTTCTTCACTCATGAATGTGGAATGAATTTTATACTCATCTACAGGGTGAGTCAAAAGTCCTACCCACCTTTTGAACGTTAATAACTTCTGAACGGTTGATCTCATGGAGATGAGGTTTTCACCATTCGAAATACAAGACAATTATATATATGAGCAAATATTTTTTCGCTAATTCTCCAGTGGAAAATAAATTCCTGTTTTTCAGTCATATAAAAGCGATGGAACCCACAGCATGCATGCAGCACTGTGTCTAATTATTTTTTCGACTGTCAGAGGATGTCCAGAAGGTCCAGAAGGTCTGCTACGTTTCCTGTCCTGTCAAAATGTGAGTTGATACGAGCAAACAACTTGTGGCTGACTGTTTCACCGATCAATTTTTTCCTGAAATGTCAATCGGTTTCCGTCGCATTCGGAGTAAAACTGAACTTTTCTAACTCGCTTATAATTGGTCAATCAATTATCAGCCACTTTCCTCTATCCTTCACAAATTAGAATGGATCACAGACAAGGCACAATAAATCTCATACTGGAAAAGACAATTGGATGCGGTGTCGCACGGGTATTGTCCCATACCAAACCCTCTGCATAACCCCGAATTAGAATTTGATTTCCGAATGAATTAGCAAAATAATGTAAAATGATTCATTCAATACAGAATTGACTAGTCTTCCGAATGGTTTAAACAGCATCTTGATGAGATCGAGCGTTGGGAAGGTATTCACGTTCTAAGGATGGGCAGGACTTTTGACTCAATCTGTAGATCAATGGTTTCTCCCAGTCAGCATACCATGGAGAGAGCGAAGGGAATCACTGTATACCTCTTCCTTGTCTTAAGTCGGCACTAAAGGGGAATTCAGAAATTCAATCAGAAGTTTTTTATTGCTGTGTTTCTTCCCCAAAATCTTGATTCATTTTGAAACTTGAGTTCACTCCCGAAACTCCCACTTTCGTTGGAACCGCAAAATAGCACCAAAGGAAGCGGGAGTTTGACTTGCTCCACTGCATCTGGGGGCAGCAAGGCAAAGCGGTAGTCAGAGTGGCATCTACACTCTTAGAAAATTCCGAGCGTTTGGGGATCCAAGACATTCCACTGCAAGTAATTTCTATGACAGACAAATGATTGTCGGCATTCCATTGTAGGCAATTCATTCCCATTCATCAATTGATTGTACTGTCAATTGCACAGTGATACCCTTTTCGCTGCATCCACTTTCGCTACGGAAATCGTCCTGGGCCCAGTCAAAAATTTTCGTTGGTTTATCGTTGGCCCATAACTGGAGAAATGGACTCATTTTTGGCGAATGATTGGCCTGTCAACTCACACTTGTGAGTGCCAATGAGCCAATGTGGATGAGAAGGTTCCGAAAACCGGCATGAGATGGAGCTAAAGTGGTCGTCGTAGGGAGTCACTTCCCGGATTCTACCCGGAGTCCCCTGTCCCTTTTGCACAGTTTCCTATGGTTTCTCACGTAGATCTCAGAAGAAGAAAATTGAATTTCTTCAAACATTTCCCTGAGGATATAACCTAGTCCTGGAATGAACCCGGAAATTCCGTCCCCGAGGTCCGTGGGAGGATCCTTCTACTTTCCACGATAAACTACACTCTTAGAAAATTCCGAGCGTTTGGGGAGTAAAAAGTGAGCACACCGTGAGCTTTTCGAATTTACTCTCTTACTACTCACCAAATGCTCCCTATGAACTTTTCGAATTTACTCTCTTATTACTCACCAAATGCTCCCTCACCGCTCGTATTGAAGTGAACACCTTGAACTTCTTCGCCAGGCCACTAGATGGAGGCAAGGGTCTCGCTTTTCGCACAGTACACAAAAGTTCCCTTCACTCTTTCCCTGGAATAGTCCCTCGCAGGATTGTTTAGTACTTTGCCGTATGTCTCACCAAGTCTCATTATAGGAATCAATAAACACGGACGCTTCATACTTGTTATCCACATATTCAAGACATATTCCTAGAGTCCAGGTCATAAACTAGCCCATATTCCTATTGAGAACCC